GTTTTCCTCTCCACAGAATGACCAGGGGAGAATGAATCAGGTGGGGGCTTTATTAGCTCTGACCCCAACGCTCAGGCTCCAGCTGGGACGTGCATTAACTCCACTTGTCCTTCATCCTGCAGAGTTCCAGACTGTCTCCTGGTGGGGCAGGGACAGCAGGAGACAGGACACAGAGATTTCCTGAGGATCTCTTAGTGCCAGCACTGACACCCCGGTGTGAACCCAGGGCAGGGCTTAGGGCAGGTAAAACCCAGGCAGGGCTCCTCTTTTGGGGGTCCAGCCTTTCTGCTCTGCCCACGCCTCAGCTCTGCACCCTTTCCCCGGGGTCCCAAACTCCCACCAAGGTCCCGATTCCTGCCTGAGCCGGGGGGTGGAGAGCAGAGCTGTGCCCGGGGCAGCTGATCCGAGCACTGAGCACGGGGATCCCGGGATGCAGCAGAGCAGCAGCCGGGAGATAACCAGTGGTGTGTCACCGCTGCCGGGACTTAACGCGTTGTGAGATATGGCAGCTTGTTTGCAGGGCTTTAACCGGCCTCTCCCGTCCCCTTCTTGTCACTGCCCAGTCCCTGCCACCGCCAATCTGTGTCCTAATCTCCATCAATTAACGAGAAACACTTTCGCTCCCCCCTCCCCAGTGCAGACACCCACCCTGAAGCCTGGGATAAAGAGGGAAGAGTCCCCCCAGCCTCGACCCTCTCCCCCTTCACTTTCCACTAACTCAGCGCAACCAATTAGGCATCTGACACCCGTACGGGCTGACAAATTGTTTCTGTCATCTGCTTTCTGTCTTTCATTAAACGGGAGGCAGAGGGGGGGAATTGAGGATGGAGGGGGGGCTGGGAGATGTGATCTCCCATGCTTAGCGAGGCCAGATACATTAATTACAAAACGGCCATTTGCAGCATGAAAATGCATTAATTAAATTTATGCAATCATTATCTTTAAATAGTCATATCTTTAAAATAATCAGCCCTTCCTGAGTCTTCCCTCTCCTCCGCTAAGTAGCTCTAATCCCTTTTCCACCATTTATCTCTGGATCAGCACTGGTTTGTGTGCTTTTAAACTTCTGTGTGCAGGAGATGCCTTAAAAACTCTGCTCCAGTAATAGAAGGGGGTGGTACCTTTGCTCTCGCCCTTGGCATTGCAGCGAGGGGCACGACTCGGCAAGTTGGAGGATTTGCCATTTTTTGGAGGCTTTTTGATCAAGGTATTTTGGTAAAGTAGAGCTCGTAGCTCAGTCGGGAGTTGGGGGGTTAATGAATAAAGTTCTTCGCTCGCATTTGTACAGGAGAGCGAAGGATGTGCTCTATCACATACCCACTTAGGAAATGCATTGCTGTTTTCCTTTGGAAAAGGTTTAATTCTAATGAGGCAAGACCCTTCCTTTGGCATAGACACAGCTTTGCCAGCAGACAGTTACCTTTCATCGGAGTATCTTTTTCTTTGTAAAAATCAGTTAGTTCAAGGCAGTCAGTGATGTTCAGGAGAAAAGCAAGGTTTTAAAAATAGCCATTTTGCTACTCTGATGCTCAAAATCACTTCATACTGTAATTCTAAAAGATCTTTTATTTTGGAGTAGCTACACACATGGCCAAAATCAAACAGTGCCAGACAAACAAAAAGAAGTGCAGTTAATGACGTATTAGCCCAGAAGCTTCTGCTTTTATACTTTACTGTTCAAAGGCTTCCCCTGTTTGTGATGACTACACAAATAATCATTGCAAACCCAGCAGACCCCAGGTACAGGAGAGCCAAAACACACAGGGAAGAATTAATCTCATCCCCTGCTTAAGTAAGCACCTATAACACCACAGGAAAACTCCAGTCCAAATAGCTTTTAAAGAGCTGGAGGACTTGAAGAGGGATAGTGATCTAAACTCCAATCCTTTAGGGCTTTCTTATCACTTCTGGTTAAAGATTTTGTTCTGCTCTTTGTGTGCCTGCATCGTTTTTAATAAATCCTGTATGGTTTTTTCCCCCTATCTATAACTCCTGGTGGGGCAATGCCCAATTAGACAGGGGCCAACACAGTGGTGTTTGGATCCAAACCTGGTGTTGTGTTCAGGGTTATGGGTGTGGGATTAGGACCAGGTAGAATTTGTGGGTGGATTTGATGGGGAGGGAATCCTGCTGGATTTTTCCCATCTGAGGGGCAGAAAGGAGCTCTGGGATTTCAGAAATGGAAGCAAACAGCAGCACGTCCTGCACAGAAAGTCCCCTCCACAGTCTAAGTGTCCCCAACCTCCTCTTGGAGAAGCACATTATGGAATTAGAAACTGTTTGGATCCAGCACAGCAGGAACAGTGTAAAGGTGATTACAAATAATGAACACAAAGAGCTCGTTTTTCCCTGGACCATCTCTGAGAATGGACATTCCTGGATAGAAGGGAAACACCTTGGAGCAACACAGGGAAAGAGGTGGTTGGGTTGGAATAGCTGAATTGTAAGAATAATTGATGAATAACTCTGGGAAAGCCAGTGTTTCCAGCAAGGATCCCCACTTTCTTCTGTTCTGTTTCTATTATTTGTTTGCACTGATGCCTCCACACCGGTGGATTCTGCTGCCTGGTGGATGCAGCTCCACTGCCCCTGATTTCTGATCCTGTGAGGGTTTGGACGTTCATGCTTGGCTAAAGCAAACAGCTGCCTGTCTACGAAAACACGACAGTGCTCCCTAGCAGCAGAGAGGAGGCAGAGGGGAGAACACATGGCACTGTGCAGGGCTGGAAAAAGCATTTCCCTGGATCCAGGAGCTGTGATTTTCCTGTGGGCGAGGGAAAAAGAGGTCCTGACTTTAAAAATTCATCTTCAGAAGATCCAAACTGACTCAAGGCGCTGCCAGACAGGATGAGGATCTGGCTTGTTCTTTCTTTGGGGTGAGCTGGAAAGAGAAACCCTCCCGTTACAAAATGCAGGGAGCTGGGAGAGCAGGGAAACGAGGATCTGGCAATGGGAAGCACTTGTGATTTTCCCTTTCTTCCATTCTTTTGCCAGCCCGAGTTATTAACTGTGAGGTGTGAGCTCGGCCAGCCCTGCGCTTGCTGAACTTATCAGGGTTATTTCATCTCCCCATGACCTCTCCGTATTTACGCTGGGAACCCTGCGGGCATTGGCTTTGCTTAACTGGTGTATCTTACACTGCAGTTAAGCTGGACCTTAACTGATTACAGCCCTTGATTGATCAGAGGAGGAGGGAGGGGAAGAGAAAGAGGAGTCCGAGAGCAGGTCCGGGACTATCAGCGCACGGAGCAGCTTCGCCCGGGGCTGGGATATGCCACTCGGGGGATTCTTTGTAGTGCAGCTCCTTTCACATTTATAGAGGCTCCCCTCCACTCTCCAAAAAGAGAGAGAAAAGCAGGGGAGGGGGGCACGGAGAGGACTCAAAGGATCGCAGGAAATCTTGTTTAGGAGCAGTAAGGCAGCACCAGCACTCTATTACCAGTGTCCGCGGGGGGCTCTGATAGCGAGCACAGAGCAGCTTAGCTGAGAAACGGGGGGAATCGGAACAAAATGAGGGACAGAAGTGGAAAGGGAGGAGGGGAAGAGGAGACCTTTCTGTGAATTTTGGCTTGGCTTTGTTAGTCTCTGCTGCTGTGGGGCTGCTGAAGAGAGGAATGAAAGGAGTTTCTAAAGCAGTTTTAATTTGCTGGGACCTGGTTGTGCTGCGTGGTCTCCTTTCCCTGCCTTTCCTCACATCCCAGCCATAGATTTAGGGCTGATTTAGCACGAAACCTTGGGATGTGTTTATTAATTTACTTCTATTTTGTATCTCTCTCTAAGCCCCAGAAGCTTCTCGTTCCCTGTCTGCCATCAGCAGGTCTCAGCTTACCCAAAAAGGCAGAAGAAAAGAGACAAGCCCAGCCCGTTTCCAGACCCAAATCTAACCTGAGTCCTTCTGTTGATTTTGGAAATGCTTAGGGATTGGAAATGTTAGGCATTCCAGTTTTCTGTGGTTGTGCCTTCCTGCTTTCTCACCCCAGGTGACTTTGTGGGCTCCAAAACTGCACAAACAAGATCCATGTCCCTGCAGTTAATACTGTGTGTAAATTATCCCAGAGATGTTCCATATTTCAGCAGAGGGACTTTCCCATAGAGACTTTCCTTTCCAATATATTCACTCGGCCTTCCCAGAGAAATGTAGGATTAAAGATGTTAAGGAAGGGAGCAGCATCAGGGTGGAGTTTGCCCGTGGTGACTTTGCTGCACAGAAATCAGGGGAATGGAGTGGCTCAATTTTCTGACCAGAACATTTGGGAAACATTGGCCTTCTTTTGGTTATTTCATATAAAATATCTTAGCAATTCCAATTTAATCAGGTAAAACACTTCGTGCCTAGGTAATACCAGACAATTAATGGTGCTGATGGTTAGTAAAGCACAAAGGGGCCATTTTCAGGAGGGAGTTGTTCAGCAGGGCATGAAAATCAAAACCCTTTGATAGTTTTGAGATGTCAAGGTGCTCATTTGCCTTTTTGCTTGAGTTTCTGCTGTTTCTGGGAGGGAGGAGCCCACATCTTCTGATTTTCCTTGTTGGTGAAATCGATGCCTGTAGAACTGGGACCCCCCCCTTACCTCGACCACCCCACACTGTCCCAGCATGTCTTTTGATTTCCTCTCTGGTTATCCAGCCTACTAAAGCCTTTTCCACCTGCTTTTATCTCAGGGACACCAGAGTTTGGTGCCCTAATGCCAGGGATAGTGACTCCTGTTTCTAGATCAAGCAGCTTTTAATGTAATTCCCATTCACAGCGACTCCTCCACCCTTCCCCTCCAAATTCCACTTCTCCCACAGGATTTCTCAGAGCCCTTATTGGATGTATGGCCCCGTGGAGCTTCTGGTTCCCCTGTGGCATTTCCACTATGAGAAGAGCCCACTCCTCTTTCCCACACCATCCACACTTAAGCCATTTCTCTCACCCCTGTAGTTAAGACCTTTCCATTCTTTTGTATAGCTTAGAAACTTTTCTGTAGACCTTCTCTATAATTTGTACATCTCTACAGAAGCAGGGTGCCCAAAACAAGATGCAGTGCTCCAGGTGGAACCTCACCATAGCCCTGAACAATCAGGTAATAACTTCCCATCGCCTTTTTCCCCCAATCCCCCCCTCGTGCAGCCCATGTTGCTCCGCTTTGCTGCAGCTCTCCATCACATCCCCGGCTCCATCCCACTCCCAGCATCTCCCCAAGCCCTCTCCATCATCAGTGTGTGGCAGCTTTTCATCCATCAAGTGAAACAGGGTCATTTTAGAACACAAGTGCTCATCTCCATTTCACCTGCTGTGTCCCAGTCCCCTCCCCTGCGGCACTGGAACCTCCTGCAGATGTTTGAAGTCACTGGAAGGCGTTGATGATATTTCTGGGTTTATTGTTCGCTGCCAAACCACAACAGTTTGTGACCACTTTGAAGGCTCCTGGTTTGATCTGTCCCAGGGGAGTGCAGGGATTGAGAGGATTCGGGAACATTGCGCTCTGTTCCCAGGTTTCCACACTTTGTGTGGCCACCACACACTTTCCAAGGGAATGTGGGAGGTTAACGTAGGACACGGAGACATTTCCTCTGCAGAGCAGCAGCCACACCAGCCCTGGAGTCCTTCTGTGGCAGGAAGGACTTGTGAGATTGTGTGAGCTCCACTGCTCTCTTTAGCACATGCTGATGGATGGATTAGAAAGACCTGGGCAGATGAGACAGTGGAGCATCAAGTTCCTTAAACTTTAATCCCCACGAAAACAAAGTAGAGAGTGAAGTCCCATCCTCGTTTATGGCAGTGTGAACCAGGGCTGTGCTTGGAGACAGTGATGGTGTCCTGAAAGGACGTTGAGGTGAGTCATAGAATCATCAAGGCTGGAAAAGATCTCCAAGGTCATCAAGTCCAACCTTTGACCAAACACCACTAAACCACGCCATGAAGTGCCAGTTTGCTCCAAAATTTGGTTGGAAGTGATATTAGATGGAAGGGACTGCAATTGCCCACATCAGGCATTCTCTAGGTGCAGGAAGTGTGCAGCACTGTCTGGATCCTTGGCCTGATTGCAACTGCAAATCTGATGGGTGCACTTATTGATTTGGTTTGGAATACTGGGATACAACTCAGCTGGGTCTAGTGGTTTAGAAAATATTCAAAATTAATTGCTTGGCTTTGTGAGTGCAGTGTTAGTGATTGCTACATAAGTCATTTTAGTCCTACCTAGGGGCATATTTGCATATATTTATCCTCCTTTCAAGTGAAGATCTTTGGGGAAACTGTACTTATCTCCTCCTAACTCTTTCTTTGGCTTTCAGTAGTCCTACAGTCACCTCTTCATTTTGTTTCCATTTAATGTATGTATAGAATAATCGACTCTTCCCACCAAGTGAAAATGAATCCACAGAGATCAAAAAGCATTAATAGGGGGAAGAGTTGCCTTCTACAAGGGAGGGGGAGAAGATCAGGTGAACAGGCTGCAAAAGAAAGATGGGAAAGATGAAGCTGGGTCCCCACCAAGTAGCTAAAACCAGTCTTGAAGGACAGGGCACGACTGACCCACAGCAAAAGCTGAATCAGCCACAGATGGCAGAGACCAAGCCCTCATGGAGGAACTCAGAGGGGATCATTAGCTCGGTCCATGTTGTGGGTGAATCCCTGAGATCCAGCGTGTTTCCCGTCACAGCCATCAGGCTCCTGGCAGACGTTGCATCTCCTAGGAAGTGGTGTAAGTTGTAACACCACAGAAGGTGAAACAAAGAGAGATTTCAGCCTCCAGACACCCCTCACAACACAGAATTTCCCAATGCTTTTGGCCTGTTGTAACATCAGCTCATCCAACTGACCGCACTTCCAGCCTCTCCCAAAGAGGGAGGATTTCTACCCGTTCCTAGGAAAGCAGTACCACAGCCTCAGGAATACTACCCACTGCCAGGAGACCCTTCCTTTGGTTTTCCCTTGTGGTTTCCTGCCTGGTGTCCAGCCTGAAATCCTTTGGGACCACCCAGCAGCTCCTGTGGAGTTAACGCCCTTCAGCGAGTCATGGATCTTTCCGTCCTCCCTTTATTCAGGCTCAGCAGTTTCTAAACACAGCATTTTTCTGAGGCAGCCTCTGATTTTGAATGCTCTGCACTGTGTCAAATCGAGTGTCCAGAAATGGAGACTCCACAGAATCAGGGGTCACTCTGGGAACTGCTGTTTGCAGGCACATCCTCCCTCCCCACGTTTTTGTTTGCTGGAGTTGGATCTTCTCATGACATCTCCTGGTCATGGGGCAGTGTGGGATCATAGGGTGTGCATGTAAACCGTGTCAGGTCCAGGACCTGATGTCTCCATCAGCTGGGTGTCTTAGCAAGCTGATAAGGCAGGGAAGAAGATTTAGGGACTCTGAGGATGTCCCAGAGAGGTCTGCTGGGGCAAGGTTTGACCATGAAAACTTCTGCGCTCCCTCCCTGTGCTCTCAAACCCTTCTCTATCTCTGTGTTATCTCTCCCCATCACTTGTCTGCCCCTCGAGCCCCTCCTGCCTCCCCCTCCCCCCACCATCCCCCCCAACCTAAAATCTGAAGCCTGATTGCACAGATTGAAGGTCCTAATTGCACTTCCCTTTCCAAAGCCGCCTTCGTTTATCATAAAGGGTGCACATTTCCCCCGCTACAGTTTCCACGGCCGGAGGCCCTGAGGGCCAGCTCAGAAATGGAGGGAATTAATTACATTTTTTTAACTCCCCTTCTTTTAAAGTATGGGAGAGAGTGATGAAACGTCCTGGGGGGAACAGGGGGGAGCTGCAGAGACGAGGGTGGGGAGGGAGGCAGCAGCAGGAGGTGAGAGGGGAGCTGGTTCTTTCATCCAGGAGGGTCTTTGTGCATTAACCTTGGTCTCCCCAACACGTCGGGACCCCAACCCGCTCTTCCCATGACAAATGACCTGTGGAAAGGGTAGAAATGAGGCTGAGGGCTCCTGGCTCTGTGGCTGTTACTGACTCAGCCCAAAGTGTGAGCCCACGTCATGCCTGGGGCTGATTTGGGACAACAGCAAAGGGAAAGGCAGTGGGGAAAGGGAGAGACAATGATGAGAGGGAGGGGAAAGGGAAGGCTGTCAATCACAGTGATGGACAGGTAGCAGATTTCCCTCCAGATAAAACCTTACAGATGTGAAGAGGGTATTGATTTTTAGTTAGTGATGATAATGCACCAAGAAGTAATAAATTATAAGAAAGCAAGGTCAAAAAGAAAAAGTAAAAGGACTTTGCATTCTTGAGGAGGGGATTTCTCCAGATGCCTCAGACTTTCTTAAGTTCAGAAGTTGCCTGGAAAATGAGTTTATTCAGCTGAAACAAGAAGGCAGATAATGTGGGCCTGCCAGGGCTGGAGGGCTCGTGCAGGGTTATCTGTGCTGGGTGGCCAATGGTGGAGAGGGAATAGAAATCTCTGGTTCACTCTTGTTATTCCTGACACCTTCATGTCCTGGGGTGGCCAAGATCAGATGCCACTCTCTGACAAACCTGAGCAAACAGAGTCTCGGGGGAGCTCAGCCCCAGATCACTCTCAGAGTGCCTGGAAAAGGCAAATCCTTCCTATGGTCAGTGCTGAAGAGGAATCCAAAATTCTGGAGGCTCTTCGCTCAGCTGAGCCCCAGAGCCTCTATTGGGTTCACCTGCAGCTCTCAGTCACCCACATCCATGGGAGCATCCGCAGGGATGTGCATCCCCAGCCTTGTATCCACCCTGGAATCATCGAGAGGAAATACTCGTGCCCTTATGTTTCACCCCAGATTTCCAGAGGGAAATTCAGCCTGTCTTTTGCAGCAGGAGGACTTGGGACGGGATGAATTGTCCTTCAGAAGTGTCAGTCTCTCTGTAGAGGGATTCTGGAGGATTAGCAGAGACTAGAACTTCACATGACTAAGGTTAGTTGAGTTGAGTCCGAGCTGGAGTGACTTGCACAAGCCCTTGTGAGTCAGTAGCAGAGCTGGGATTAGAAATCAGTCCTGATTCCCACTGATTAAAGCCAATTCCGTTTTTAGCAGGATTTGTGCAAGTGTCTTCTCCGGTCCCTGAATCTGGAGAGTGTGAATCTGGGTTTCATTTACCAGCATTGCTTTACATCCCCTTTTCCTTTTAGAAGGAAGTGTTAATGTGACTTCTGCTTGCTCCAAGAGCCTTTTATTTTCTCAGAGTAATATGAAGCAGCTGACTGACTCTTTTGGGGAGATGGCCAGCAGGGAGAGGACTAGAAAACCCTCTGCTCTCTGAGTGATTCCAGTTGCCCTTCATTTTACAGTGTAGGAAATCTTTTCTGCACCTGCAGGGCTTGGCAGGGCAGGCAGCACATCCACAGCCAAGCAGCACTTCCAGACCTGGACAGCTCAGGAATGGAAAGGAAAACCAACCTAGCTTTGTGCTGCCTGAGCTGGAGCTTTCAAAAAAAATAACTCATAATTCATACATCTGTGTTTTTGTGCATGTTTATTGTTTTTAACATCGGATTCTGCTTGTGAATGAAACCCAATCGTGTCTGGTGGCTGCTGTGTGTGTGAGTGTCATGGATTCCCATGGGGGCAGAGGTGTGACACCCCCAGCCCAGGTGAAGCCAAAGCTCTGGGCTCTGCCTGCAGCCGCTGGGATCGGGGGATCTGGAGCTGAGCCGGATCAAAGTTCATGACCCGGCTTTAGTGGAAGGCTACAAATAACTTTGCAGCTGGAAAACCCGCCTCCAGGCTGCACTTCCAGGATTTCCCCACTAAATAAGCCCTGAGGCAGAGGGGTTTATGTTACATCCACCCAGGAAAGCATGACAGCCCTATTCGTGTATTAATCCACTGTCTTGCATATTTAAAGGCAATTTCCTTTCTTCATCCCCCGGGCTCTGGGCTGTCGTGGAGCAGGGAGTTCCATGGGCACAGTTTGGCAGAGCTGAACATCTTCATCCAGATACCTCGAGGCTTAATCACTGTGATTAGCTGAGCCTGGAGGGGCTGGGGAGCTGGAGGTAGCCTTAGGACGCGAGGTAAGGTTTTATAGCCACCAGAGCTCACTGCCTGGATAACTGACCGAATCGAACCTGGTCTCCGCAAAGTGATAGCGCATGCCTTATCTCTGTGAGATTCACCTCAGGAACAGGCCTGCCTGAACCCCAGCGTGCAGACATAGCTAAGCCAGTTTTAACTTTTGGAGACCAGCAGCAAACTCTAAGCTCAGTGCAGGCTGAGAGCCCAGGAGGAGGAAGGGTAAATGGACCCTGTCTGGGCTCTGTGCTGCTGCCACTGTGCTGCTTTTACTCACCTTGTTCTTGTGCAAAGCTCATTCCTGTGTCTCTGTTCCAACTGCAGACAAACCCCGTGGTCGAGGTTAGATTGATTTTCCAGGCTTTTTAATTAACCCCCTTCCACTGCCTCCTCCTCCGTGGGGTTCCAGCCACCCCTGCTCCCGAATTCCCCTCCCAGACAAATGCCTGGAAAGGATGTCAGGCCGGTGGAGCCTGGAGGTGGTTTTACATCAAGGGAAAGCATATTTGCAGGACTCCTGAGTCCTTCCGGGGGGAGGAGAAGCTTTAGAAAGCCCGTGTGGAGCCGATCATTCAGCATAAGCCCTCGCTCCGGCAGGAAGGTGAGGGAGGAGGGACGGGGAAGGTGTCGGGGTGAGCAGGAAGGGGAGACTCTGCTCTCTCTATACAACCCCTCTTGTGTCCTCCCAGAGAATGTAGCCCCTGCACAATAGCTCACCAGGCCGCTGCTGGGGGATAAAGGGCTCATTTTACCACTTGCCAGGCTCCAAATATTTCCAATTTGCCACTTTAATTGATGTCAATAAGGTTATGCTAAATTCGGAGATTTGGAGCCGCTCGGCATCTGAGGGCCGGCCGGGCCCCCCGAGGTGACCGTCCCCTCTCCCCCCGCCCTCCCCAGCCTGCGGCGGCCGCGGGATCAACCGAGAGGCATCGGCAGCTCCCGTCCTTCTGCAAACTCTTTACACTCCTAACTTGGCAGCCGCGGGGCGATTCTGCTGATTGCAGCAGGCAATTGCATTAAAGGCCTGGCGGGATCAGGGCCCCGTGCGAAGGGCAGAGGCAGAGCCTTACTCCGAGCTCGCCCGCAGGAACAAATCTGGCATTTTTGCTGCAAACGAGGAAAAAAAAAAAAAGTTCATCTGTTTTGGGTCTCAAAGCAGGAAGATTGGTTGTGTGCAAATTTAATTACCTTTTCAAACCAAGCACTGCACTGAAACGAGCGAGACAGGACCTGTTCTCCTTTAACGTTTGGGGGTAAAGAGAACTTTGACATTTCAGTCCCTAAAGCTGAATCTGCATCAAATCCAGAAAGGGTTTGCATCTGGTTTGTTTAGGGATCTTGGCAAAGCAATCCCTCCTCCAGCTTCCCAAGAAAGGGGCTATCTGCACTGTCCCTTTCGGAAAATAGGGACTTTTGCTCCCTGTTTTGTGTCTCCTCTCCTGTGCATAGGGAGGGAGGGATGCCAGTTCCTGGCAGTTTGTTGAGCAGCTTTGTCCCAAGTTTATTCCATTCTCCAGTGCTCCTTGCACAGCAAATGCTGTGGCAGGGCAGCAAAAAAACCCGCCAGAGATTGACTGTGCTGTGAAGGAACTTCTCCATTTTCCCTGTCAAGGGCTTTCAAATAAAATGCTAGGGGTCTGTCTGGTGGTGTTTGGTGGGAGCAGACCTTCATTCTCCAGCCTGGCCAAACCTATTTTGATACAGTATTTTATAGAGCACCGTTACATGTAGGTTTTTTCTCCCTGGTTTGCATGAAGGCAGCTGCACCCTCCCTTTCTCCTCCAGCCATGATGTGTGGTCTCCTGTGTTTCTGCAGGTGATGAGCATCCTGAGCAATCCCAGTGGGGTCCCTCCCCAGCCCCAGGCTGACTTCTCCATCTCTCCCCTTCACGGTGGCCTGGACACCACCAACTCCATCTCTGCCAGCTGCAGCCAGCGGAGTGACTCCATCAAGTCCGTGGACAGCCTCCCGACTTCCCAGTCCTACTGCCCTCCCACCTACAGCACCACCAGTTACAGTGTGGACCCAGTGGCTGGATACCAGTACGGACAGTACGGACAAAGTAAGTGCTCTGGACGAAGTTCCCCCTGCACAGGGAACAGGAGAGGAGAGGGAGGGAATACGAGAGGGTATGGATATACCATTCCATCTTCTATCTTCAAATACCATATATTGGAAGGGATTCCCATGGAAATCTGTCTATCTAGAGAGAAAAAGGGAGTTTATTCACCAGATGTGGGTGGAGATTGCTCCACACAGCCTCCCCAACACCTTTGCAGTCCAATTTAAAAGTTTCAACTGAAATATTTTAGGTAAAACATTTCTATTACCAAAGGATGACTTCCAGCCCCTTCTCCTTCTCCATCTCCAATTCTCACTTCTCCAAAAGCCCTACAACATCTCCAGCCTGCTCAGCCAAAGGAAATCCGGGATTTTGATGCCCTCCCTTGGTGATGCCGAGCACTGTGTGTCTCTTCCTCCCCTGCCCTCCCCAAGGCGAGGGCTGGGACCACGCTCAGAGGTTTTGCTACAAAACACGTTAATCCAGTGCCTGTCAGCTGGGCTGGGATTCTGGGAGAGCTGGAGTGAGACTGGAATTGTAATCCTGAACCTAAATCTCAGAGCTGAGAGGCAGAGGGACCCTGGGAGGGTCTGTTTCTGCTGCAGAACGGCCGGGTCACAAAAACCCCGGCCAGCCTGGCAAAGGGCTCACCTGCCGGTGTTAAACTAATAATGAGGGTGGTGGTGTGAGGCAGTGATCCAGGGGGGGTTAAAGGTGCATCCTCTTCCTCCGGGAGTGCTCCTGCTTGCCCAGAGCTTGTCCTCAGTGACCTTTCCTTCCATTTGGCTGTGGCTTTTTATTCCCCTCTCCGTCACAGCCCTTTAATGTCTTTAACTTCTCCAGCTAAATGAGAACCGGCTGTGGCGGCAGACGGGATCAATAGCAGCTTCCCCACACCCCTCCTTTTTTTGTTTTTCAGGAGTTTGATCTGTGACCCCTTGACCTTCCCCTCGCTTCTGGATGTGAGGCTGGACACACGTGCTATTGATAAAAATCTTAAACAAATTCCAATACCATGTATTTCCAATAAAGATTCCCTTGGGCAAGACTTTAGTCACACCCATGTGTGTAAAAAATAAAATAAGGAGGACGAGCTATGTTTTCTGGGAGAGAGAGACTAGCAGAGGAGGAGGAAAGAGAAAGAAGGATTTGTCTTGGTTTGCTGCAGGAATTTTCACTTGGGCCTCTCCTTATGCTGATGAAAATCTCCTCATACAGCTCTATTTGTGTTTAATTTGCCCCTTTTTCCTGATTTCTGTCATTCTGTTTATAATAATCCCTGCAAGGAAACAGTTTTCATTGGTAATTAGTCCTGTTAGAGCAATCACTTACATGAAGTTGACCTTGATACAACAACATTTTTCCTGTCTTTCTCAGTGCATGTTGTATTTAGCAGCATGCTAATATATGAGACTTCTAATTCCTCCTCTTTTTTAATTCCTCATTTCTTTTCAAACGCTGTTTAAATGCCCACCAATGTGAAGTGACCTTCACAAGATCATTTATTTGTGTTCAGTTCAGATCATGTGTTTTTTTCCATTCTCTGATGCAGCAAAAAAAGTATCAAATCTCTTTCAAGTGAACAGTGATATAATAAAAATGGGGGGTTGTTATGGTGGGGGCAGGCCCTGCATAACAAGGGACAAAACCAGGGCTTGGAATTAAGAGCTCTGTGGCTTTGATAGGCTTCAGACCTGACCTGCAGAGAATCTCTCTCTCCCCACTTCTCTCCTCCTTGTTCTCTGTTTTATAAACACAAGCCCAGACACACTTTCTCTTTCATAAAGGCAAATAAACACCCAAAGGACTTTCAGTAAATTTCTGGGTTTATTTTGGCTTCCGCCCCACTGAATCAACAAACTGGATCCTTGACTTCTGGCGTGGGATCTCCTGGTGCCTTCGAACTCTTCCCACGGGCACTACCCACAGAAAGCAATATTTGGAGTTTAGTATTTTTTTTAGGATAGGATTGGCATCAAATTTCCAGTTTCTCCCTAACAGGAGAGTGGAGCCAGGTGGGAGTCAGTCTCTTCTCCCAGGTAACAAGGGATAGCACAGAAACCCCCCAGCCTAAAATAGCACCCAGGGAGGTTTAGGTTGGATACTAGGGAAAATTTCTTCATGGAAGGGGTTGTCAGGCACTGGCACAGGCTGCCCAGGGCAGTGGTGGAGTCGCTGTTCCTGAAGGGATTTAAAAGGTGTGTAGGTGTAGCATTTGGGGACACAGTTTAGTGGTGCTGGGTTAATGGTTGGACTCAATGACCTCAGAGGGCTTTTCCAGCCTTAGTGGTTCCATGATCCTCAGATTTGGCTCAGTCCTGCTCAGGGCAGGATGACCAGCTCTGAGCCCTCACCTCCCTCCTTTCCCAAGCTCTCCATGAGTTCACCCAGAGCACAGGTGACAACAGGAACAGTCACAACACACCCAGTGTGTGAGGAGTGAAATTCCTCTTCACCTGCAGCCTCTCAAGGACATCATTTGATGGGCTTACCTGAAACACCCATGGACCAGGTTAATCAGGTCTGGATGAGAGCCAGAACGTGGGGTCTAATCCTTTGGACACCCCCCCTGTAGCAGAGGCCCCACAACTCAACATTCCAGGGCCTGGTGTCCCAGGAGCACCAGTCCAGCTGCACTGGCCCAACTGCTGCTTTTGGACTCTGTGCTCCCTCCTGTGAGCCCTGGATAGCTCATCCCATGCCAAGCCCACTCCCTTCCCTCTGGCACTCCCCCAGGCTGCGAGGAGCAGGGATGCCAGATTAATGTGGTCCTGGCCATTCCCAAAGGCCGGAGCTGTGTTAATGATGCTGGTGATGGAACGCAGAAGCGTGAAAGGAATCCTAATAGATATGACAAGTCTAATAAGAATTTGTGTGTGGAAGGGTCCTCCTCTGGGGCAGGAGGATGACAAGACGTTGATGGCTGAAATTTGTTTACTCATTGGCACCGATTGTACATCTCCTGCCAGCTCCTTATTAATCTAATTTGAGACATTAAAGCCAGGGAGAAGGAGAGACTTTAACTGAAGCTCAGCTAATGAGCAATATCACCATCCTGCCCCGGTCCCCTTCCCCCTCAGACCATGGGGCAGCCGGGCGAGCCGGGATGTGCCATTGCCACAGGAATTGGGGCTGTTCCTCACCCAGATGGTGACAGGGAGAGCAGTTTCCCTGAGGAGCAATGCAGGCAGCAGAGCTCCCAGAGCTGAGTCAGCACCCAGAGGATGAGTCAGGTCCAAGCCCTGTCCGGGCTTGGTGAGCTTCCACTGAAACCTCTGGAATCATTTCCACACTTAGAGTAGGAGCTGGCTTTGTCAACAGGGAGCTGAGCCTGGAAGGTTTATTCCAAGCCTTCTGCTCAGGCTCATCTTCAGGCAGCTCCCTTGGAAACAGCATTTTCCATGGCAGAGGTAGAATTTTAGCTCTTTTCAGTGGCTGCATGGAGAGATTTGAGGGCCCACAGCAGCACAGTGCCTGTTCAGTGTGCTGAGCCCCCTCAGGCTCTGTCCTGCACATGTTTGTGGCAGGACCATCCTCTGTCTGAGCTCTTCCAGGAGAGCAGCAGCTCCCTCGTGTCTGCGACAGCCACTGTGCTGGGCCCCTCTTTGTAAGAGCCTGTTGGTTACACACCCTTCAGTGCTGGAAATCATGGCCACTAAATGCTAATTTTGGGCTGTTTTCTCACCCTTCCTCTTTTCCCCTCCCCTGCAGCTGCTGTTGATTACTTGGCCAAGAACGTGAGTCTGTCGACACAGCGCAGGATGAAGCTGGGAGAACATTCCGCCGTCCTGGGTCTCCTACCAGTAGAGACAGGCCAAGCTTACTGAAGAGTCCAACTGTGCCAACAACCTGCTCCAGCAACTTGGAACCACTGGAGAAAACACCACCAGCCTTCCAGGGATCTGCCCGTACCCGGACCCTCCTCCTTCCCAATTCCCTTCCACCTCCACCAACTTGAGCTGCAAAGGAGACGGGAAAGAGCGGGAGGGCTCTCCAAGTATCCAGCCCCTCCAGAGCACTCCAGAGGCACCTGTGGCCTCTGTGACCTGACTCCTCCTGTGGCCAGAGACAGCGGGTTGGGTGCATTTATTAATCCCGAGTTCATGCCCTCCCTCTACTAAACTACCTGGCCATGGCTTTTCGCCCACACTTAAGGACTTTCCATTGATCTAGGTAGTTGGCATAGTCAAAGCCAAATCAATCTTTTTTTTTTTTTCTGTTAAAAACAGAGGAATGTTCCATTTTGTTTTTTTTTTTTTTCTTTCCATTGCTGTAAATTTGGTGAATGTATAGGAAGGAATAACCAAGCTGATCATTAAGGGTGATATAAATCAGGACCACAAAAGATCTATGGACCAAATATAAGAACTTGTTCAAAAACAAAAAGAACAAACCACAGAGATGAACAAACCCAGAAAAACATATATTAAAGTAACAGCAAATTTCCCCACCCCACTCTACCCTCTGTTCTCACTGGTGGCCTCCCAAAGCAGGGCCAGATTGCTGCTAAGCAGGGGCAGGATGGAAATCCATCCAGCCTGGGACCTTTGGAAAATGTAAATTGCTGTATGAGGGCTGGAGATGATGGGCACAGGCACGAGCAACATTTACTTTTCCTTTTATGGACCAATTTAGACCTGATTTCACTGAAAGGACAAAAGCGCTGGGGAGCAGCAGGAGATGTGATAGCACAGAGGATACACCTGATAGCACAGGAGCTCATCCAGCTGAGAAGGGTGAGGGCTGTTGGTGGCCCTTCCTTCTCTCAACAGGACAGAAGTTGGCCCTGAGAGCAAAGACAAGCGAGGGCAGAGCCAGAGGTGTTCCTGAGCTCAGTGTGCAAAGCCAGGCTCTTCTGCAAGGGTCACCTGAAAGGAAACGGTGCTTGGTCTGAAGGTGCTTTGCTGCATCTCTCACTGAGGGTGGGGTAAAAGGGACCTGAAGAGTCTTTCTAACAGCAGCTTGGAAGGAAAGGTGCTCTCACATGCAAGATTGCACCTGTCTGTAGTGCAGGAAAAGATTTACCTTCCCAAGACATTCCTCATCCTTTTGCTGCCAGGAGAAATGTTTGTCCCATCCATCCTCCTGGCTCTTCCCACACCCTTCTCATTCCGTGTGCTCTTCTGTACAGCTCAGTCTCTTGGTCCCTTCCCTCTGCTTTCCATTTTGGTGGTAGATCCTTTTTTTTCTCTCTCTCTCTCTCTCTAAGCCAGACCTTGTTTTGGATTTATCAGCCCAGTTTTCTCCAGCAGTGAAAAAAAAGTGCTCTCACTTCTGTGTCACCTCATTGCACTGCTCAGATAAGCACAGTTTAAATAGTTTCCCTTTTGCATGTGAGGATGATCCTTGATGATTCTTAAGCAGATATGTAATATTACAGATTTTTTCCCCCTCATCTTCCTGTGTTGAGAGGATTCACTTCAAGACATTTGATGTGGAGAGGGCAAGGGAAGCTGCCCCAGGGATAAACACTTGGATGCACAGAATCTGTGCCACCAGGAGCTGGTGTGTGAAGGCCAGTGACAGCAGGCAGTGTTTAATGTCATCCATGGGCTGTTAGAGTTTATAATACACTTACTATTTGATATCTCTAGGATAATGAATGTCTGCTTTTGTCCACTGGTGATACAGAGGGACCATGAGGTGGGATGACTCTGGGCTAGGTTGTTAAAGGAGACACTTTCCACTTGCTCTCTTTTCTGTTGATACTTCTTCCATGCTTCCCAAATAACCTGTTCTTGTTTTTGCAGCTGAAACAACATTTTTCTGGGGAATTATCCCCTGCCTTGCTCCAGCATCATTTATCATGAACCACCAAACCACTTCTCTTGAGCCATATGGAGAAGTACCTGTCCTGGCCAAAGCAGGGCTTGGTTTCTGATGTTGCCCAGCATCCTCTTGGAGCCACATGTGGCTTCCATCAGCTTTGCTTTATGGCTCTGACAGAGCCAGCTCTACATTCCCAAAAGCATTTTCATACACCAGCCTGGCCTCTCACATGGGATGTGTCTGTGCAGGAGCCCTGTGAAAGGTGACATCTGCATCCTGAGGCTGATTCCTGTCCTTTATGCTCCAGAAAGCCCAATTCAGCTTCTGCTTGTCCAGCTGTATCACACACAAAGCTTCTCTCTAGAACATTCCTTGGATCACAAAGCTCTTGAAGCGCTTGCATTCCTCATATCCTTTCTCAGGGCAATGTGTGGCACCTACAGCTTCTTGAACAGGTGAGGCCAAAGGGACTGATTTCCTCCTGGACTGGTTGTGTTACCTGAAGGAATCCCCCTGCTTCTCTCCAGTTTGAGATCTTGGGAAGCAACAAAAACCCCACTGGTTTATAGTGTTTACATGTTAGAGCTGATCCCTGTTGAATTCCAGCCCTGGCCTAAAGGTCATTCCCAGCAGTAAATTCCAGCCACACATGAAGTGGGGAATCAAGGGTGTCTCCATGATGGGCACCAGTGAAGGGATCAATGACTGAAGCACCTGCTTGAACTTGCTCGTGTGTCATCCTCATCCTGAGCCAACTGCTAAAACAACAGAGCCCACCATTTTCTTATATTTGACAGCATTTAAGAGGCCAAATGCTGATGATTCCCTTCCTGGGAGCACTTTCAAATCTACATCCTCTTTGCCACTGGAACATGGGGTTTGTAGCTGGTGATCACTTGCCCCATTACTGCCCCAGCCAGCTGTGATTCCTTGTTCCCTGTACTGAAATTCCTGACCAAATGCATTCCTTGCTGCCTTCTGAACCAGAAGGAGAGTTCCAGTTTGTCATGAGAATTGCTTGTCCTGCTCTTATTTCCTCTGTTACCTCACCCATCCCCCCGTGTGTGCACACACATCTCCCAAGGATCCCTCACCAGTGGACAGTCGGTCCTCGCCGCGAGGAGGGCTCGACCTGAGCTCAGCAGCCAGCGCAGGACCCAGAAATAAAACCAATAAAAAGAGGGAACACTGCAGAAACCTCTTTGCCAATTACCTTCACCAGAAAGTCCGTGGCCACCTGGGCACTGCTGTAAATAGGATTCTTAGAGGAATATGAGGACGCCCCATGCTTAGCACAAATAGCTCTTCTCTGACCTTTCCCTTGTGGTCGCACTTTGTACATTAGTTGGAAATTTGGTCATGTGCTGTATGTTTATAGAAAGTTGACATTTTTTTTTATACTAAAAAACACAGTGAGTGCCGTGTTAGTTTAAAAAAAAAAAAAAAAAAAAAAAAAAAAAAAGGAAAAACACGGAAAAAAAAAAAAAGAAAAAAAGGGGAGGGGGATGAACTGTAGAAATTTGCCTATTGTGTGTTTTCAAAGTACATTCCAGAATCTTTGGGGTGGGATGGGTTTGATTTCCGGATTCTTTTTTTTTGTTTGTTTCTTTGTTTTAAGGTACGTTCCTGTATGAAAGTCAAAGTATTTTTTTGTTTTGTTTCGTTTTGTTTTTTGGATTGCCAACCTCAGTTCTGCTGAAAAGAGACAAACTCAGGGGTGGGGTGGGACGGGAGGGGGGGCAGAACAGAGGGAGGTACCTTGAAGGTGAAACAAAACTGAGCGTGGAAGAGTAGCAGTGGCAGTGCTGGACAGCAGGCATTCCCTGGAGAGCTGCACTCCTGACCCCTGGGGGTCCCTTCCAAACCAGAATATTCTGTGACTCTACGTCAAATCAGACTCCGGATCAGACCCTGAGGAACACGTGGTCGTGGCCGGTTGACACCGACCAAGTAGGGACTGAGCAGATACTCAACTCCTGGTGACTCTGAGGGTGCCTGGGAACCCAAAAATCGTTCAGCACCTCCTCCAACCAACTCACCAAGCACAGGCACGCGCTCCAGAGACGTGTCAGCTCCACGGCTCGACCCTGCCTGCAGATGAGACCTGAAGGGACACACTCGGGGACATTCTCTGCCTCCACAGCTCTCCCCTGCCTGCAGATGAGACCTGAAGGGACACACTCGGGGACATTCTCTCCCTCCACAGCTCTCCCCTGCCTGCACACGAGCCCTGCCATCTCCGGGGGGAAGGAACAGTGCCAAGTGGGTTTCTTTGACATCCCCACAGCCCTGCCTTCACCTCTCCCCACAGCATGGACATCGCCTCAGTGTGTCCAGCAACTCAGCAGATCGGCTCCTGTCGCTCCGAGAGACTTTTTGTGTATTTAATGCTTCTAACCCGTCATCCCCTAACACCTCCATGTACCCACCTGGGGAATATCTACATAGCACTATAGGGCATTCCTTATTCCTAGTAACTGCGGAGATGTCGCTTCTGTGTTTGCCTCATAGCCATTTGCTCCGTGTGTGAGTGTGGGTGTGTGGGTGCCTGCGGGCGTGCGTGTGTAAATATATAATCGCACCATAATTTATTCAGCTATATGGAGTAGAATAGTAGAAAGAGAAAAAACTGGTTTTGCTTTAACTACCTGCTGCCTGTAGGTGTCTTTCTGTAACTCAGGCATAACTGTTATACATTAAAAAAAAAAAAAAAAAAAAAAAAAAAAAAAAAAAAAAAAAAAAAAAAAAGGATTAAAAGTGCCTTTGGGTGGCTTGTTTGCTTAAAGCGCTCCGTGGCGTGCCAAGAGCGAGGGGGGAAAGCGGGGAAGTGAAAATATTCAGCACACACGGGCAAACTGCAGATGGTTTTGCTCCAAGAAGCAAAATCACGGGGCTTCGTTCGTTAATGAGGAGGTGGAAAAGCTATGTAAATAAATAAAACATTTAATTTCACTGTGACTTTGCACAAGGGAAGGACAATTACCTGGCCTGTTCTCAACACAACCAGTTCTTTATGCATTCATTTGGAGCCAGCCCCAGCCCGGGCAGGGGAAGGCCAGGGAGAGACCAGGCTGCTCCACAGGCACCTGGCTCTCGTTAAATGCCAAAGCCCGGCATCAACAAGCGGAAAAATATTTAGAAAC